GAAGGGGCCACACCCTTTTGTCTGACCACTCCCAGGCGAATACCACTGCCACTTATGAAGAAAGTGCAGGAGGAGATCAAACGTATGGAGCAACTGGACGTTATTGAACCAATAGACNCCCCAGGACATTGCAAGCCTGAGACGTTTCTTAGGATTGGTCAACCACCTAATGAAGTTCTGCCCAAACCTGGCTGAGAAGACGAAACCCTTAAGAGACTTGCTCAAGAAGGAGAGTGCTTGGGTATGGGGCCCAGCCCAACAAGAAGCCTTTTAACAGTTGAAAGCAGACATGGCATCCGAGCAAGTTATTGCACTGTACGATCCGGAAAAGGAGACCATGGTGTCATCGGATGCTAGCAGTTTTGGACTTGGTGCAGTCCTTATGCAGAAGCAGCCATCCGGCGAGATGAGGCCAGTGGCCTATGCTAGCAGATCAATGACCGAGACAGAACGTCGTTATGCCCAAATCGACAAAGAGGCTTTGGCTATCACATGGGCACTTGAACACTGGGCAGAATTCTTGATCGGAATGAGATTTAAAGTAGAAACAGATCACAAGTCATTGATTCCGTTGTTTTCCACTAAGTTGATAGACGAGCTTTCAGTGCGCATACAACACTTCAGGATGAGACTTTTGAGGTTTGAGTTTGCCATCGCGCATATTCCTGGTAAACTCCTGTATACAGCTGATTCATTGTCTCGTTCCCCGCACGAAAGTAAAGCCCATGAGTCTAAGTCATGGAACGACCTACATTACGAAGTTGAGGGCTATGTGAATGCTGTACTAGTGACTTTACCTGCCTCAGACCAGCGGTTAAATGAGAAACGTTCTGAGCTGAAAAACGATGACACACTCAAAACTGTGATGCAGTATGTACAGAATGGGTGGCCTGAAGAGAAACGAAGAGTCCATGGTCCAGTAGCTAAATACTGGAGTGAACGCGGCAACATCTCCCTCCACAGCGGGCTACTCCTGAGAGGACGACGAGTCATTATACCTCCAAGGTTAAGAGCGGATGTATTGAGACGTCTGCATGATGGTCATCAAGGGATTACCAAAACACGTGCGAAAGCGGCCTCCTTGGTGTGGTGGCCTGGAATCTCCCAAGACATCATTGTGCTAGCTGTAGGAATGGCCGTACCGTATTTAAGCATGTTGCGTTAATGTCTGTTGTCTTGGTACCTTTCCGGACATAACAATGACTTCATATGCTTGCAATGTGCGAGCATAGTATCAGCCACTTCAATTGCTAGCAATGTAGCTGCATTTCGGGATAACCCTCCAAAAAAGCTTGTAGATTTCAGTGGAATCTGGGCATAATATTTCTCATAAAACTTTTCTCTGTCTCCATTCTTTAAGTATCCATCAAACAGTATTTTAAACACGGAAAATTCCTCAGTTTCAGTAAGCTGTCCGTACTCATAGCGCTTGAATTCGTCTCGTAAGTCAGGGTGGAAGACTTCGTTTTCTTTAACTTTATTCACAGCAGCATTCACAATCTCAGCAAGAACCACTGGCGTTAAAGGCAACTGTTGTCGTTGATCGTTGTGTTTAGTGGTTCTGTGCCTACGGTAGCCTCCACTAGACTTGTATTTTTTCCCGCAGTCGCTACATACAATGACTGTCGATTGAACCTACAGTGGACACGGAAACACAAATAAATAAGGATAAGGAACCATAAAGTGTTTTGATAAGGTGAAGCATTTGGATAGTAAATCAAGACAACAACTATGACATTCTTTACTTACAACGCTGTAATTTAGAGCAAGGTTTCACAATAATGCCTGTACGTAAGGTAGCATAAGTTGCTTTGATTCCTTTTCATTGCAGAAACACTTACCGATTATCTTGAACAGACAAACTAGAGGTTGTTTATATAGCAAACGAGCTCGCGTTCCACTCCAGCCGAAACAAAAGCAGAGATTTTCTGGATTATTTTGTACTTAAATCACTTACTGAGCTTTCAAATTGCTTCTCCAAGTCTTCATCGCCTTCTAGGATATCCANATTATAGAAATGCTATCAGGCCCCAAAGAGGGTTCCAAGACGAGGTCATCAAGGTGTTGCAGTCTGAAACAGAGTCCTACTTTGATGTACAGAGATATGTGGTCCTATTATTTGACGAGATGAAGATCATGGCAAACCTAGTTTTAGATAAAGTGACTGGAGAACTTATTGGATTCACTGATCTGGTTGACCCAGACTTGAATTTTGGATCTCTGGAAAAAGTTGACGAGGTTGCCTCACATGCTCTAGCATTCCTGGTGCGCGGGGTGTGCACAGAGCTCAAGTTCCGCTTGGCTCATTTTGCAGCCACAGGTGTCACTGCAGCCCAACTGATGCCACTTTTTGGGAAGCAGTTGCCATTCTTGAGACCACCTGCAATCTGTGGGTCATTGCAGCCACCTCCGATGGTGCTTCTCCAAACAGAAGATTCTACTGCCTGCACAAGCCACTGGATGGAGGTGCAGACACCGATGTGTGCTACCGCACCATCAATCTGTTCGCGCCCCATCGGTTCCTGTATTTCTTTTCTGATGCCCCACATTTGGTAAAGACAACCAGAAACTGTTTGTCACACTCAGGATCTGGTACTTGTACACGCTACATGTGGAACAATGGGAATTACATCCTATGGCAACACATATCACAACTGTTTTATCAAGACATTGACAATGGGTTAAAGCTGCTACCAACGCTGACCTATGACCATATCCACCTCACTTCATATTCTGTGATGCGAGTAAACGTGGCTGCACAAGTCCTTTGTGCATCGGTGGCTACAGTACTGAAGGAGTTTGGACCTCCTGGGGCAGTAGAAACTGCAAATCTCTGTGAGATGATGGATGCCTTTTTTGATTGTCTCAATGTGCGCAGTACTATTGAGTATCAAAAGAAACATAAGCCATTTCTTGCACCATACAGATCTGATGATGACGAAAGTTAAGTTTGATGTCATATTGCATAGTAATGTTAGACTTCCAAACCAGTCTTGCAGATTAGGTTAACCCTACAAGTCTCAGTATTTATGTACACATTCTTCTGACTGAAAACCAGATATCTTCTTGTTTCAGTTGGGAGAATTTGTTAAAGGATTGCTATAATTTCCCTTAGCTAATCATCTTATTTATTTCTCATAACCTTTGGCCACTCAACAACAGCAATTTGTTCTCATTCATTAATATTTACCTTGCCCCAGAAATAGTATTAATAATAATTATTAATATAAATATGTCATCTATTATAAAAAAATTTGAAACAGGAGCTCTCGACAAACATTTGAAAATGATCTCGGAAAAAGCTAAGGTTAGTCAAGTTACCATTCCCTTTCATTCTTATTCTTTCATTGTTTTCTGATTTCAGGTTCCAGTTCCTGAGTGACTTCCTGGAGTACCTAAGGCTTTGGAAAGAGAGTACTGAGAACCGACCAGGGAACTTCACACAACGCCAGAGGCCGCATGTTCCTCTCCTGGCAGACATATGAGGGCATAAAGATGACAGCTCATTCAGCTATCGAGGCTACCAAGTTCCTGCTCCAGGAGGGTACAGAGTTTGTGCTAACTGAGCGGTTTTGTCAGGATCCAGTGGAGGAGTACTTTGGGAATCAACGCAAACTCGGAAGGCGCAGTGACAATCCTGACATTCATGCATTTGGGTATAATGCCAACACCCTCAGAATTCAGCGGACAGTTTCCTGTCAAAGTGGAAACACGAGAGGCAGGAAAGACAAACGAAGAGCATGGGAGCAGGTTACAGATGCAGTATTGCCATGCAGGAAAAAAATGAAACATATTTGACTTTACTAGATCTTTGAGCTGCATGTAACTGTAGTGTTGGTGTTACATGTAGTTATATAGCAAAAACAATTCCTGCCAAAGGAAAAGGAACTTTATACAGACTTGCCCATATGGCAATTATTGAAATTATTATTACAGCTGTGTAGCTTGTCACACAGGGCAGGAGAAATATTTTGAAATCCAGTTGCTCGGTGGGCCAGTACATTTCAGTTTTCAGTTGCTGTCACTAAAATACTACTTGCCCAATAGGTGCGCAATGTTCATTACTTATCAACTGACAAACCTACTGAGGCTAATTTCACTTGCCCACCAGACCAACAAACTTCCATTTTCACTTGCCCAACAGCAAAATTTACAATCAAACCTGGGATTTTTCCTGCCCTGGTCACAGTAGTGTTATGTAATAAGGCAGTTGACATGAAATATTGTCTGAAAGTTTACATAATGGGATTTTAAATTTAGCAATACTTTAGGTTTGGTTTTGAAGTCATGTATGCAGAAGCCAATCAGGTCCGGTTCGGTTCAAAACTGTCTTGTTCCTTGTAAACATAAACTCAATGAAGTGAAGTGAACTTCAGTTTGTTTCCAGGAATCTATTCTCAAAAGCTGCAGTAAATAGCAAGGTACATGCATCTACATTTTTTTGGTGAGGTTAACTGACAGTCTGAGGCATAAAATAGCTTTTTTCTCAAATTAACCTCTTCTTTTCTTGATACTCAGCCATAATTTATGTACCTCTTTTCTTTTTTTTTTTCTTTTTCTTTTTTTTTTTTAAAAACAAACAAACAAACAAAAAAACAGGCTGCTGTCTGTGATGCATGATCAATGTTTTATAGCCTACAGTGCATTCATGCTTCTTAAATCATAAGGTTGTCTAGAATAGTAAGGATTTATGTTTGTGTTCTGAAAACTAAGGTAAGCAATGTGATTTTGCAAGTTTGAAAATATAATGATGAAAATAATATTTCATTAATTTTGAAAATATAACATCACAGAACAACTTTTGTTAAAATTATTATTAATGTCTTATTTAGACCCTTAAGTTCTGGAATCAGTGCAATTCTTTACAGCCTGGCAACCTGTTCTTAACCCAATCCTTCTTTCGAACTCTGAGTTTTCTAATTCTGACTTAAGATTTGACACATTTACTATTTGGGTGATGTAGTTTTGATGTGGGGTATTCTTGTCACAGTAGCACTGGGTTCAAGATTCAAGATTCAAGATTTTAATATCAACTGTAACTATCAAATACATGTGCCCAACTATGGGTGTGACCCAACAGACTCTAGATCGGGCTAAGAAAACTCGACCATTTGAGCGTCAAATATTATTACTTCAGTGTATACTATTAATAAATAATGTGTATAAAAACCAGAAATATCATCCTTATAATTTAACAGTAAACAACCCTAATATACTACACTAGTTATGCCTCTCTTGAGCTTGCTCGTCGCAACTTCTTTGGATTTCTTTACGTAGAGCCTTGCCTTTAGATTGCTTTGCTTTAATTTTAAAGTCTTGTATGATGTCCTTGGCTAAAGAGAACGAGCGAACCCTAAGGTACAAATTTACAATACTGTGCAGGACATCTTTGCTAACATTCTTAGTGGGAACCAGTTCAGCATCTGAAACCATAGTTTGGTAGTTCGATACCACATCACTATCAGTGACTGACTTCTGAGCTATTCCAGCAATGTCCACTCGTTGCAAACTACCAGCAACTTTCAAAGTTGACTGTCTGAAATAATGTTCAGTCCTAGAAAATATGAATTGTGCAGACTCTGTTATAGGCCAGAGACCACCGCGGTCCAAACTGGAAACCAGCCTTTGTGAGTCAGAGCCATACTCCAATTTCCCAGCTTTGAGGATAGCCATTGCCTGCTGGCTTTCATTTGAAAACTTTCTTGCACACTTTTTGTGAAGATTGTGCAATACATACCCACCCAAATACTGCAGCCCAGCCTTCTCTTTCTCTGATAAGACAGTTTTGGATGGAACAACACTGTTGTCAGGAGATGACTTCATATGCTTGCAATGTGCGAGCATACTATCAGCCACT